TTGCAGCCAGCCCCGGGAAGCCCTGCTGGGAACAGGGCTCATCCTCATGTGCACGGGGCAGGAGAGCTCTGCAGCAGCAGCTCTCCTGCCCTGTGCACATCAGGACCCCTCCCAATGTGTATGGGGCCAGGAGACAGCGGTCTCCTGGCTCCATACTCCCTGCCAGCCCCTGGGCTAGCACCCAGAGAGAGTCTGGAGCTATCAGATTTAGTTTTGGTTTCCCCCTATCAGATTAATTTTGGTTTGGAGTCCTTTATTGGCTTGAAAGTTTTTATACATATTTTTCTCAGCATCTGTAACTCTCCTTCTAAGTTCTGCCATCTCTTGACTCCTATAAAGGATTTAAGAGATCTGAATTCTGATAAACTCAAAGCTGTCTGTGATGACAGAACCCAGTCCTTTAGCAAGTGGGGTGACTGCGTAGGAAGCTAAAGGAAAGGGGTGCCATCAGGTGCTGCCCAGTCAGGGCATGGTACAGGACAGAGCTGCAAGCAGAGCAGAGTAGCTCATTTGTGGGGGGGGGCGGCGGCACAGGAAAGGGGAAAAGGTGGTTCCCACTGCTGCGTGCACTCCTGAACAAGCATCTTGAGCAAGCAGCCTGCCCCCATCCAGATCTGTGCACAGGGTAGAGGGCAGGCTGCTACTCTGGGCTTTGCCCTGGGCACCAAACTTCATTGCTACAGCACTGACAGAACCTGCTTTGGTCTTCCACTTTTTTTCCTTATTTGCCTTAGTTCTAGCTCCAGCAGCCATCTTTGATTCTTCAGGATCTGCCAGCTGTTTTGCAGTTTCTTCTTCTGATCTTCTCACAACTTTCTTTGGGAAAGATAGCTTCTTATGATACCCGTCTCTTTGTATGCAGCTGCCCTTTAGTGTTCAGGGGGAAATGTTTTTGGAAGTCTGAAAGCAGTTAGAGAGAGGGCAAACCTGTGGATTATGCCAAATTTCTCCCTGCAGCTCTATCTCTGAACAGCTATCATCCCCAGCAAAATCCACTAATATATTTCTGTGAAAGACTGGGAAATTGCAAGAAAAATAAATAAATAGAGGCCAGGACTGGGCCAAAAAGTCCCATCACACCATCTCTCAGCAGAGCTAGTTAAACATGTCATATATGCAAGAGACTTAGCCTTGGTCAGAAACCTCTGTGGAACTGTTGATACTAAGGCCAATACAGAAACTGCTACATTCATAAACCTGACCCCAAAGCAACTCTTTGACCATTCCCAGAAGTTTTTGGAGCGTTAGTGGATTAATCATAATGAATTTCCAAAGACTGTACGGTATTGTTTCAAGGATTCTTCATCTCAAGTAAGAGGGTTATGCAGTAAGAGCCCAAGTATATTTAGCAATTGCCCGTAATTTCATATTATCTAGGAGAGGGTAACTGGGGACAAAGTTCTCCAAATATGGAACAAGCAAATCAAAAAGTGATTATTATTGTATTGTAAGTAGTTGAATGAGAAGATACTTGATGAAGTGGAAATAATTAGTGACATTGAAACTGGACTCTGAAGAATAAGCATTCACTGCTTTCGTTTAAAGCTAAACACAGAGTAATGCTTTGAGGATGTTCTTTTGCCAAGGCTCTTGGATTGCAGTTCTGAGGGGACAGGTTAATTACTTGCCTCTGTCACAAACTTTTGACATGAGCTTATGAAAGTCATTTAGTGTTTAGGACTCAGATCCCCCTGTATGAAAGAGGGGCTAATGGAAAGACTGTTGCACAGATAACATTCATTAATGGGTTAGTTCATGCAGTAGTTAATGGTTAATCACAGTAGAAATATGGGCTGCAGGAACAGTTAGAAATGAAAATTGCCTATAAAAATCAGAGCAAAAAATCCACCCCATTCATGCTTCTTTGAACTCTTGGATTCAAATTGGGCCCAGAACAAGAAACATTGAAATGTCCCAGTTGTTTGCATCAGAAAAGTGTTTTAGTGTAATTTCTAGTATGCAAGAATCCCCATGCAACTCCTCCAGTCAGCCGCTTGCACCATTCCCAGCCAACTGCTTGAGGAAAAATGAGGGAAGAGGTAGAAAGGCAGCTCTTTCACTCCTAAACACCAGCCTCTCTGCTGCATGTGGTGGGTCCATCACAAAAAATATGTATTACACTTAAATGTGACCACACTAACACAGATACTTTTCATAGTATTCAATACTGCCAACCCAACACGTTAGAAGCCACTGTTTACCAAAGCAAGATAATAAGCTTGTGGTTCTTGTTTGCTTTATGATTTTTTGAGCCCTCTGAATTCTTATTCTCTTTCACTATACTTATGAGTTTTAGATAGATAGATAGATAGATAGATAGATAGATAGATAGATAGATAGATATATATAGTTGTGTGTGTGTGTACACACACACACACACACACACACACACACACACACCCCCAATATTTTCCCAAGGGCAAACAATACTGCCTAATTCAGCAGTAAAATTCCCAGACAGACAGACTAGTCTGAGAAATTATTAAACTGAACAGAAAATCTCACAAAGGGCAGAGAAGGGAAGGAGCCAGGGGGAGGGTGGCCAGGACAGGAGGGGATTAGTTTGGAGACCACTGCCCTATAACAAATCTCCAGAACAACTGAAGTTAAGAGATTAATTGAAGGAGATATTTTTCTTTGCTCAAATTTTACCTTTAGCAAAGCTCTTGTGCTTTTTCCATACTTCCTTTTCAGAGATGCATAACTGCAACACCAGCCTGATAAGTTCTTGCATGCACTAGGAAACATTGATTTTTTTCATGGAATTGTTCAAAAGTTCCTGAGCCCATGAAAGCAGGAAGGGGGAGGAGGTACAAATAGCCTCATAGACCAGGTACAGACATTACAGTTTTAGCAGTATAAGTGATCAGAAACTGGTTTATACCCATAACAGAATACAAGTTCAGCACATAGACTGGTTTAAAAATGGGGGAAACCAATCCAAGATTTCCCCTTCACCCCCAGGGTGAATGTCTGTGCTGTTCACTACCTATCTAAACTATGCCACTTACAAAAAAAACACGTAACTTAAAATCAATTCCACCTAGGGTTTTTTGAATGTCTGTACCTTAGCGGTACAAACTTCAGCCAGGTTTGCCCCTGAATGGCTATAGAGGCTTCTCTTCTGTGAAGGGGGCAGTTATGGCAGGTTAAATTCAACCCATTTTAGAATTTCTCCTCTTTCACCTATGGGATGAAACAGTTCTCTTCAACATGCAGACACCAGACTGTTTGTATAAAATGTTATCTAAAGCTTCCTAAACATGTAGAAATCAAAATGAAGAAAGTTTCAGCCTAACTTAAGTTATAACCAACAAGACTGAGGGCTTAGAACATGAATTGTTGTTACCTTTGAACTGGTGGGTGCCAAAATGATGAAACTTAACTAACAACATTGAGTTTAAGGTTCAAAATGAAAAGTTGAGTTTTAGGACAAGAATAAAAGGAAAAAAAATTCTTCACAAAGATGTCCAAAATCAGTTTCCTCTTCTCCTAGTTGTTTGTCACTCCAAATCACCTCCTTAATATTCCCCCACGTGCTCCAGCTCTCAAATCTTTCTAAAATGCATACCTATCTTTCAGGATTTTGTTCAAATTGCTTAGTCTGCTCAAAGACTTTTGAGAAAAAAAAAAGTTTGATTCAAAATGAATCAATGAGGACTAGACTCTCACCCCAAGCAAGCAATTCTTCCACTATTGTTCAAGGTACCTTAAAGCAACCTGAAGGTTAGTGCTCAGCACTTTGAGGAAAGAGTCACATGGCTGAAATGGCTGCCAGCAGAGGCATAACAAAACAGCTGTGCATCTAGGGTAGAGACACAATATATAGGAAAGTCTACATAGACTTCAACTGGTTTTTGAATCAAGGTCCCCAAGTTGTGTGTTTATAACATGTACTTACAATGAGAAGTTTTATGTGAGCAAACTGTTTACATAGACTCATAGTTCTCAGTATGAAAACCCCTATTTTAGATTTAGAAGTACTGGGGAAAATCCTAATTCATATTATGACTTGGTTTGATGTCATCTCACTGCAGATGATGCAGATGAGTTGGTTTGTTTGTTTTTTAATGAATTTGTTCATAGGCTGTGAGTGAAACTCCTTAGGTGTGTCTACACATCGCCCTACAGCAATATTGTTACTGTGCCATGCTTTACTACTTCCTTTTGGAAGTACTAAAGCACAACGCAATAACTGCCCATACTGTGCCATGCACACAGTGCACAATTAGTTTTAGCTGCTAATTTGCCGTAGTGGCACACTAAAACAAGGAAGCACGCTACTATGACAAAGTAGCTGCCAGTCACATGCAGACTCGTGATCGCTACGTCACCATAGCACATTGTACAGCAACATACAGTGACATGTAGACACACCCCTTGTTAGTTTTCTATTTAAAACTGTAGATTTGGCCTGGTGGCTCTTGGGTATTCCCCTCATGTTCCACCTCAAAAGTTAAGCATGCACCCTCTGTTTCCTAAACAAAAAAATTGCAAGTCATGCCATCGCCTTTTATCAAAAATAAATAAATTGATTGACTGATTAATTAATAGGAGTTGGGCAGGGCAGGGGGGTGGTTCACAAGACACCACATCCAGGCGCTTCCCCTCCCCCCCCTGTTCCCCTCCCCACATGTTAGCAGATGTTAGATTCCAAAATTATGGCATGTCACTTATGCTCCTTCCTAAAGTATAAAAGGACCTCAAGGAAGGGTACCTTGTGCCCAAAAGTTTATCTAAAAAAGCTCTTCCAACTATGCAGTTGGACCAATAAAAAGCCATTTCTCCAAATACTCTTGCATATTTGCTAGATCATCATGGATACAACATCACTCCGACACTATCATTTTATGCTCTACGCAGTTGTCATTAAAGTAAGTTAACTTCCGTGACCCATCTTGTATTCTTTTTACTTTTACAACTAATTTCAGAAAGTAGTTATACAAGCAGAATGCAAGTCTTTCATGAAGTAGCAAAGGTAACACACAAAACTCATTAAAAATATAGAATTTATTTCTGTTTACAATAAAACAGCAGTACAATTGGTTTCCAACATGTTGTTTCTTGCATGGTAGGCAACATGAATTCTGTTTAGAGTTTAAATAGATTTTGCTAGGCCAGGTCAGCATGAAATACATTTTTGTAGAGGCTCTCCTTAGATTTTAACCTGTTAGCAGTTAAATTTTGCAGAATGCCAGTCTTAAAAACACATCTGCTACAATACAGTAGTATCAATCTTCAGTAATTGCACTACCATCCATCTCTTTCTTTTGCAGTTCCCAGTTTGAAGAAACAGTAGTTTAACTAGTACCAGTGTAGAGGAAATTCCAACATTTCTGCCACTACCTTCTTTAGATCAGCTTTCAGAGGTTGGCTTATATAGATATGGAATTGCCCATGTTCTTCATTCAGTTTGAAAGGCACGATCTGGCTGGCCGGGACTTTCCCCACTGGTTGCGACCCATCATTTACAAACAATTCTACCCCATACACACAAAAGGTGCAAAATAATGGACATGGTGAATACTGTGGCTTGGGGGCTATTTTGAAAACCATTCTTTTTTTTCAAGGATCCTGCAACAAAACCACAGACAAGTGTAATAAAAAGGGGAAGAGGACAGGAGGCCTTAAGCTATTCAGGAAACAAGTCTGTCAGGTTTAAAGCTTCCGAATAATTGGAGTGAAAAAAAGAGTTACTCACACCACCAGTAAAGTCAAGTGTCCTATTACAATGGTTTACAATGTGTGCTTCTGTTTCCTCATTAGATATTCAATTTTTTGTTTACTATTTCTGAACTGCAGGTTTCCTTTCCCTCCCATCCTTGACTCCCTATCATCTCCACAATACCAGCAGCTGCAATTCAATGATATAGTGTCATGCTTGCAAAGAGCAGGGAAAAAGTCAGGACACTGGCCCATGTGCAAATTCCATGTCATCCATGAAAGGATAACCATACACACGTTGCAAAAACAACAAAAGGTCGGGGGTGGGGGGGAAAGGCGCGTGGAGAGAAAGTATAAGAATCCCCATCATGCTTGCAGGGCTAGTTTTGGGAAACTTGGTTGGAAGAGCTGGCATTCAGTCAGGTTCAGTTCCTGAAGACAGATTCCCAGATGATCCATTTCCTACTATCATCTTGCTGTAGTTTTTCTGCTGCTCCTCCTTGAAAGTCTCTTTGACTTTGGCCCTTTTCAAACCTCCATCCCTAGAGCATACACACAAAGAAAAGATGCACTCAGAGTTAACTCCAGCATTAGAAGGCAGAAAAATGTCTAAGAATATTTTGGTTTCCTATTTAAAAGCCTTGTTCATTTCAATATCTTCTTCTGGATGACACAGTTTCATCCTGCAAAAGGCTGTTCATGACTCCCTTATCTGGAATGACTGTAAATAGCTTCCCCATCCCACCCCTCCCTGAGGGAGAATAGTTATACAAGTCAGCGCCGAACATGCAACCCAAAAAATCTGGCCTTAGCACTAGTGAAACAAAAGACATACTTAGACTGCTAGCATTTGCAGTATTCATAAGAACCTTACATATCTGGGGTGATATTCCTGTAGATATGGAATATCATATGGAAGGAGATGCTTGTGAGAGGATATATAATTAGACCCTTGTTCCTTTATTGTGACATTCCACAAGGCACAAGATAAGGCCTTCTCACCAAAGCCTTGTTCTAAAAAAAAAAAAAAAATCTTATTTAGCATAATCTACATATGCTTTTCTTGTACTTTAGAAGTTCCTAGAGGCAGTTCATTCTGCAAGAGGCTGTAGATTGGGACTTAAGATTTCATTCTCAACTCTACTGCATCAGGTTGGACAAGGGATTTCATTTCATGAGACATGAGAATACTTTCCAATGGAAAACAATTAAAACTTTTAGATGATACTCACATATTGTCAAATACATTACATTTTTTTCTACATGGAAATGTCTGAACAGCCAAGAGTTTCTTGTTTACTTTTCTCCCATATCCTGAATAGGGATCATTTAATTTAACAAACAAAAGGTCTGGGCAATTTTGATATCTGCCATTGTAATGTGCATCCCCTCGCTTTACAACTTTGTTCTTTAGGAGCAAAGACTGTAGCACACTAAGCCCAAGAAAAAAAACTTAAGCCTCTTACCAGGGAAGTTCAGTCAATCCTCCTTGGAGGGCAATGGCCGATTTCACTCTGTTGGCAAACTGGACGGCATCTTCTCCTTCCTGCGAAGGACACACACGAGAATCATTTAACTATGGATTGCTTTAGAAGATTGTGTTACAAGTCGCATGACAGATTCCGTTACTAAAAGGCTCTTTTTGAGAACTGTTTCTTTTTGGCAGGAATTGGAAGGGAGTAGATCTGAATGAATAGCTTTATCCTTTCTTTCTAAAGATTGCAGTGCATTTGTGACCATGAACTCTTCATCATACCATGAACATAATCTTTCATTTTTCACATCTTAAACAAGTTCAGTCCATGTTTAGTTTTCATTCAGAAGTGACACATTGGAAGGAAAGTTCCCCTCCCACACAGGATGGAAACTATAGTTATGATACTGCTTACTTTAGCGTCAATTATTAATATACCAGTGCAATTATTCAAAGCATTGTTGGCTAATCTCAGTTTCCCTTCCCAGTGACTAATCTACCTCACAATGCTTCAAGTTTAAGTTCTATATATTTAAACAATGCTACTAAGGCAACATTAAGAGAAATGCCATTTAAAACCAATTTGTACATGAAGTCTGTTTCACTAACTCATATCAAAGGAAGTATCTAGACTGTCAAGCAATTGCATGTTAAAATACCTCTCTGACCATCGGCGGCAGGTACCACACATTGCACACAATAGCCCAACTGGTCATTAGTCGCAAGAGGTAGCTCACTGCATTGTATTTACTGCTGTTCCAGAATGCGTCGCCAAACTGGGGGTCATACTGTAGTGAGGCAAAAGGCAAGAGTTTAAGCCAGTTTCTCCTGCATAATTGAGCAGACATATCAAATATAGCTACATCCCAGGTATATGGAGGCACAGCCTTGCAACTGAAGCAATGGCATGCTTGCCATTTCAAACTGGCTGGAGCCAAAGCAGTGGGGGTTTTCTTGATTTTTTTGTTGTTTTTTTAAATGTGAACAACCAATACTTGCTACAGGAACTAGCCTGATAACATTCAATATGCAAATCTCACCAGACTCCAATGCAAGCAGCAAACCCTAATAGACCCTGCTCTAAACACCAGATTATTTTCACTTCTAGTGTTTATTCAGACATTCATTTCTGATGGTCAAGTATACCAAATGGCCACTCGTAAGGTTTTTATGCATCTCTCCAGACTACAGGACCAACTCCATACCCCACACTGAATAGCCATAAAAGTAAGTCTTTCTACCATTAAGCAGCAGTGTCTGGAAGAACGATGCTTTTGAATCATACCTTGATTGCAACTGGATAGATTGTTCCTCCTATTTCAAAGCTCCCTTTCTTAAACATCATTACAGAAGTATTATTTATACAGGTGCCTAGCCAAAAAAGAACAAACATTAACTGTCAAGAAGTTGAAGGCAACACAATGTAGCCCAACCAAGTCAGCCAACAAGGTTACACCTGGTCACCAAGCAATGAAAACTCTTCTACAGAAAACAAGGTTCCCCCTCTTGTCCCCCACCCAGTTCTGTCATGGTCTGGCACTGGGGTTCAGGACTGTTGGCCTAAGAGCCTTGCTCTGCCTGCTAAAACATTAGGCTTGTAAAGGATTGTAGGGGTGGAGAGGGAAGGGGACAGGTTCAATGCAGCTCCTCCCCCCCCCAGCCATGGTGCTCTACCCAGCTATGCACAAATCCAGTAACCTAACTTAATGCATCTACAGGTGGGTGAGTGAGGCACAAGCCCCAGACACTGCTTAAGGTTGGGGAATGGGGGGGCAGGTACCAGAACAGAGCTACAGGGGGTGCTTCACCTGTGTTCTCCACTCCCCCCTGCACCTTCCCTGCAGCAGGAAGGGCAGAAAAGCAGTGGTGGGGCACAGTGCAGGAGGAGAAGCCTGAACACTCCTGCTAAGGGAGATGCCACCTTCTCCCACCCCTGCCTCGCAGCCCGAAAGTTTTTTTGCCACTAGACAGGCATATTGGCAGCCAAAAAAAAAAGGTGACATCTCCCTCAGCAGCACTGAACCTCTAGCCACTCCTCCTATGCATGCAACTCCTAACAAAGCCCCTTGCTCTGTATTAGCAACGTGCAACAGGCATCACAGGAGAAGAGGGACATGACCCTTGGAAAGCTCAGCAGAAGGAAACAGCAGTACAGTTTCTTACCTTCTGGGAAGATTAGGATGGGCAATTTGTTTTTATCTGCTACATGTTCTTTCAGTCTGTACAGAGAAAAAGGAAGTACAATTTAAACAATCCCTAATTAAAATGTTCCACCCTCCCTACAAAAACACATATGTAAACCATTGCCTTACAACCCACGGAAAATAATAAGCCAATGCATAGCACCAAGAGCTAGAGTTTGTTGACAAGAAATTGCAAGGTTTTTTCCTCCAAACTAATTTTCTTCCAAAAAAGTGTATTTTGCCTAGCTCTAGTAACAAGCAGCTAAATTATTTACACACAATTTTGTAAAAAAATTAAAATAGAACAAGAAGTGTCTCTTGTGGTAGGAATTTCACAACCAGTGACTGAAAGTTAAGAATTAACCATAGTATACTGTAATGAGGTCCCTAGCCAGCTGAAGGAATGGGCATTTTTTACCTTTTCATCACTAGATGGCGGTCTTTCACTTCTGAGCGTTCAAACCAGACATGGGGACAGGCCTTTACAGTCGCTCTCTGAATAACTCCCATTAGCCCACCATGAGCCTGTCCAACCTGCAAACCCAGACAAGACAGGTTACTACATACACACACACCACTGCAAATGAAGGTTCATCCATTTCATGGATATTAGAGAGCCCCAGCCAGATCAGAATTTTACAGCACACCTAAAAGGTTTAAGAAAGTGTTCTCTTATCTTCCTTAACATATGGTACTGGCTGTGTTCAAACATTCTACAGCATAATTCAACCCATGTCAATATAGACATATTAGTAAAAGAGATGAGGCAGCTAATTTCCAAATTTTACTTTTGTGCATTTTTAAATGAGTTACTTCAGACAGATCAGAGAAATGACATTTCAGAAGCATGTTTTGGAGCAAACAGATTATTTGTACAGCTAAAGAAAAGTCTTTTCCAATATGCTGCCTTCACAAGACTGTTAAAGAGTTTGTACAATGTTGTCATTACAGGCAGTTCTCGACTTACAATGTTTATAAACTGACACCCTATTTCAACTTTCTGACATTAGTTTTGACTTTCCAACGCTTGATCCAACGCCACGCCATGCAAGCGAACAAGTTCGCTGCATCGCCGATCCCCCTGGAGAACATCTGTCCAAACTTCCTTGGACACTTCCTTTAAGAAAGCAGACAAGACTCCAGAAAAACCTGCAGCCAAGACTCCTCAAAAGACTCCAGCCAAGAACCCTTCAAAGTCTAGCAAAGTAACCCCAAATAAGTCCTTCCAAATCAATATGATTTACAATATAAATACATTAATGTAGCTGTATTACTCATCTATAACTGAGTACAAAATTCTGGGTTATTTTTGGTGAAAATAGGGTATCGGGCCTTGGTTCAGGAACCAATCCCCTATTTATAAACATTGTTTCTTATGGGAAAAAAAAAATCGGTTCCAAGTTGCAACATTTCAACTTAAGACATGGTTTTCAGGAACCAATTGTGTCGTAAGTCTAAGGACTGCCTGTACATCATTTTGGACTATGCTGTTTCATGCACATTAGGGCAGGTATGTAACTGAAATTAATACCCTTCTATGTTTATGCATATGCCCTTCTTACTGGGCACATCTACATGTGATATTAAGGCCACACAACTAACTCTGGCACAGTTCACAGCTCTACCAGCTATGTGCATAGATTTTAGAAATGTAGTCATTTAATAATTATTTTTAATTAAGACACTAGGACTATTGCTATATGTAGCGTACTAAGGATTCCCCACAGGCTTAAAATGTATGATCTTTTCTAATAGGCACTTTTATAAACCAGATGCCCTAACTACTAATTAGATTTTTATGCTGCACCTCTTCTCCAGAACTGACTGTAGTCACACTGAAGTATTCTATCTTCAACTATATGAGGAACAGGCCACTACAAAGGAGTATCAGTTATTGCTGCTATTCTGGGTATCCTTTCACAGGGTGGGAACAAACTTATTAGAGCTGCTACTGAAAATAGCTGATGTTGGGATGAGCTACATACTCTTACCACTGCTGCCTAACTACATGCCTTGATTCTGGGAAATAAACTGCAGTTTAAGTCAAAAAGTAGAAAGCTGGGTTGTCTACCCTGATCTCTCTTGTGTACACAAGTACCGGTTATATAATCATACCATTGCATAGCATCCATCATTGGTCAGGATGATAACATCTATTGGAGATGTGTGATTGGCAACACAGATACCACCCTTCTGGGGTTTGTTTTCCCTGTAATCATAAGAAGCATCATTTACTTAGTGGTCTGAAGCACATTACTGTAACTACTTAAACACTAGATTTCCAGGTTACTAACAAGCACGGGCTAGTCTGATGCCAACTGCAGTCAAAGGTTTAACAAGCATCAATTCTAGTCAGTGTTTCAAACTTTTAGCTATTCTGCTGAGGTTCATTTCTCCATGCAGTAACAACAACAGCAGTTTACACCAAGGCACCTGCATTCCTGGATATGGTCTGGGTTGTTTTCCAAGCTTCTGTGATAAATAGAGACTACATACTTACTCTATGGTTAAGGAAACTACATAAAGAAACATGCAAAGATTTGAATCATGCTTGCAGAACAGCCCATGGCAAGATGTTGCTGTCATACTATCAGCTAGTAAGTTAATACTGAGAAAATCCCTCTACCACTCAGTTATTATACGTCTTCCATTAAAAAAGGTCCTCCTTTTGTCTTCTCTATGGAACTGTTTTACTTTTGCTAACGCCATGCCTATAGGAGTAACTAGGTATCTGTTCACTTACAATACTGTAACACTGGCTCAACTCACTTGTTATGGTAATGAATAGTACCAGAAAGAGCTCTGACAAGGATCCGGGAACACGTTAGGTGGACTAGTTCACTCAGCCAGTCTTTAATGCTGAAAAAGACATACATATACGGTTAAAGTTCTAAAGTCTTGGAAGGTACCTATAACAGAAACAGTTTTTGTCAACCCACATCCAGAATCTATTGCCATAGTAGTGTCCCTGGTGACTAGACAATACAGACATGGGTTCTCCCCCGGACCCCACACTTCCACCTGTAATACCAACCTGCTGTAACACCTTGGGCAAACCATCTCTGTTCCCTTTCATCTTTGGTCTTGTCTATTTCAAGGAGAAGCTAAAGTAGGGAGTCACTGTATATTTTATCTATAAAAAGATGATCCAATCTGGCCTGTGGAATAAAGGCTAAACCCACCATTTTAAGGTGTTAGTGCAGTTCTGATGATTTGGGCCTTGTGACTAGCTCTGGTTATGCTACACAAACAGCCACCTCCTCCCCCAACCCCAAGAGACACAAAGGCCCTGCAGAAGGAAAGGGAAAAAGTCTAAAAGTTTCTTCCTTATTTAATATTTAGACTAAGTTTACATTTGAAGTCCCCCCTTTCTGCCAGGTACCAATTACTTTCTCACACCATCTTCTCCTTTCCCTTCTCCTACCTCACTTTCCCATATTGCCTCCCATATTTGTCTTCACACCCTTGCTCTTCTATCAGCCATCCTCTGTCAGTCTCTCCTCTGACCATCTTGAGGCCCGCTTTTTTTTTTTTTTTTTTTGGGGGGGGGGGGGGGGGGTTTTTTTTTTTTTTTCTGTGCCCCAGGCTTGTCCTCTCTTCCCCACACTTTGCGTATCTTCAGGCTGCCCCTTGGAGTCTAATCCCACCAGTCATAGTCCAGTACCAGCACTCTTCTCCAGAACCCCATTCTATCATCATAGTTTCATAGGGTCAGAAGGGACCTGAGAAGATAGTCTAGTCCGACCCCCTGCCGTAGCAGGAAAGAGTACTGGGGTCAAACGACCCCGGCCAGATGTTCATCCAACCTTTTTTTTTTTTTTTTAAAGACCCCCAGGATAGGAGCCAGCACCACTTCTTTTGGAAGTTGGTTCCAGGTCCTAGCCGCCCTGACAGTGAAACAGCAACTCCTAACGTCTAGCCTGAAACTACCCTCTGCCAGCTTGTGCCCATTGTTTCTTGTAACTCCCAGGAGTGCTCGGGGGAACAAGGACTCTCCCAATGCCTGCTGGTCCCCCTTGACTAGTTTATAGACTGCCACTAGATCCCCTCTCAGCCTTCTCTTGTGGAGGCTGAACAGGTTTAGGTCCCTCAGCCTCTCCTCGTAGGGCCTGCCCTGCTGACCCCTGATCATAAGGGTGGCCCTCCTTTGGACCCTCTCCATATTGGCCACATCCCTCCTGAAGCGCGGCGCCCAGAACTGGACGCAGTACTCCAGCTGCGGCCTCACCAGTGCCGCATAGAGGGGGAGGATCACTTCCTCGGACCTGCTTGAGATGCATCTGTGGATGCATGACAAGGTATGGTTGGCCTTCCTGACCGCGTTCCCACACTGTCGGCCATGTTCATTGTGGCACCAATGATGACTCCAAGATCCTTTTCTGTCTCGACACTGGCGAGAAGGGAGTTCCCCAGCCTGTAGGTGTGCCGCTGGTTCCTCCTTCCCAGGTGCAGCACCTTGCACTTGTCAGTGTTGAACCCCACCCTGTTCTCGTCAGCCCACCCCCGTAACCTGTCTAGATCCGCTTGCAGCCTGTTCGAAGGAACTAGCATACCCACTTCACCCCACATCTTAGTATCATCTGCGAATCTGAACAGGGCGCTTTCTACCCCCTCACCCAAGTCACTGATGAAGATGTTGAATAGTGCAGGCCCAAGGACCGAGCCTTGGGGAACCCCACTGCCCACATCCCTCCAGGTCGAATAAGACCCGTTCACCACCACACTCTGGGTGCGGCCCTCCAGCCAGTTAGTGACTCATCTGACCCTGTAGGCATCAACACCACTGTCTCCACATCAAGGAACTAGAATAGCTAGTTTCCCTTTTGTATTCCTACCAGGTCCATCAGAGCAGCTCATCCAAGTGCCTCCACAGAGCACTGCCAACCCAGTTTTCCCCCTCCAAGCACAGTGGAAGCGGAGCAGAACTGCCCTTCCCTCATTACAACTTCCAGCTCCTTTCTATGGATTTCAAAATGGTGACCATATAGGGCTGGTTCCCCTCTATCCTTTAAGGCATCCCATCTCAGCTTTGAGCCAGAGGTCCTCAACTATATAGTCTTGACCTACCTATGTTCTGGTCTCAACTCTTCACAGACCTCCCAGTCTTTACACTTTACTGCTTCTATGACTCGCGTTCAGCACAACCAAGTTCCAGGAAAAGGAGAGGTCACCTTTCCATTTCCCCAAGTCCCAAGGCTAGCTCTGAACCAAGCATGTTCCAGTTTGGAAGGACATACTAGCAAAATGCTCAGGTTCAACCACAGTTACTGGGTTACGTTCTGTGGCCTGCAAGAGCCCCACCATTAGCTTTTCATCGTTTTTACCGATAGCAATGCTTGCTGTTGCAGGGACAAGCCTCATAACACACTCCAAAACAGCAGTTAGTAGAAAGGCACACACCTACCTGCCATTTGGCAGACAGCCTACCAACGTTGTTCCCACAATCATCGAGTGAATCCCAATGGTGGCCAATGTAAGACTAAACAAAAGAAGAGGAGAATAAGTATTTGCCACCCAAGGACCCCTGTTGGAGATAATCTTAAAATGATTGATGGGATGAACCATTCAAAGAGAACTGTACAGCATTAAAATGCTGGAATGCAAGATGAATAGTTTGAGCTACTGCAACAGTTTCAGGTTTAAGAAGGTTTACGAAAAAAGCCATGCCAGACATCCCTAGGGCAGTCACTGCGCAAAAAAATTAAGTAGTTCAGCTTGCATGTCTGTCATCATACCCTGCATGACTTGGTTCAGAAGCTTTAGACTGATTTGTTTCATATGAATGAGTCTCCCAGCATTGGGCTCACCGAAGAGGCAATAGGAGGCAGTACCGCACCAGGACCCCAATGACCCAAACTATGGTCAGCCGCAGGCTGATATACTGGAAGTTGACATTAGTCCTTGTGAGGAGATTCCAGGAGACCAGCTCCTCTGAAGAAAACCTTTGGGTGACTTCATCTTCCACAATGGCCTCAAACCCCTTCCTGCAGAAATAGAAGATGTCTGAGAGTTCAAAGTCTGCTCGATGCAGGCTCGCGATCTCCTTCTCCATGGTGGTGTCGACTCGTTGTATGATCCCTTAAAGAACAAAAGGGGAACTATGAGGAAATTACTCCAGATAACCAAAAAAAATCCTCTAGTCAGAGGAAGTTGTTCTGTAGATTACTGAACCATTCAAACAGTGAACTCAAAATATAAATCAGAGACAGGCATGTTATACAACCATAGAAACCAGTCATAGAACATTTGTGCATGCTATAGAGCAGTGGTTGGCAACATTTTCTAGCAGCAGGCTGGAATGACCCAACTGAGGTCTGAGACAGGCTGGCACTAGGCTGCTGCCACCACAGTAGTTTCTTTCTTCTGTTGCTGCATCTCCTTAAAGCCTAGCCACATGAGCGACCTCCTTCTTCTCCCCTCCCCCCATCATCCCCAACAACTGCCAAAACATCACTGAAGTCCTCTGGTTTTGCAGGCCAGATCCAATGACTCTATGGCCCACAACCAGCTTGCAGGCCATAGGTTGCTATCCCCTGCTATAGAGCAGACTAGGTCTCCTTTCCTGCCCAGTGTAAACCATTCAGCAGGCATCTTCCAGTTTACCACAAAAATCAATCACTATGAGTTATATGGACAGCCATACATACCCCTTTCTACCAAGTAAATGGTCACAAGGTAACTGAGGGGGGTATGACAGGGTAACAAAATAATGAATGACATGGGTAAATAGTGAATCCCTATTTATTTTTTCATCTCATTGTACAAAAACTAGTGGATAAGAAAATTTGGAACAGGTCTGAAACTAACAAAAGAAAGCTTGCAATTAGCTTGTGAAATTCCTTGCAGCAATGTTGTGGAGGCTGATAATTTAATCAGGCTCAAAAGAGAATTACACTAATTCATTCAGCAGAAGGTTCCCATCAGTAGGTATTAAACATGAGGCTGCAACCTCCAAATTAGAACTTCCTGAGCATTTAAAATGCTTGAAGCTGCTAGAAAGGAAGAGGAGCAAAGGACAGATAAGTCTGGACAGGCCCTGCATAAATTATGCCTACCACAAATAGTTCAGCAACTTTCTGCTTGAATATAGGAAGGAGAAATACACGCAGCTAGTCACTTGCCTTGCTCCTGTGGCTGTCTGGACTTTTCCTTAGCATTTCTATACCCAGGTAAGTATTAAATGTGGTATATGCCTCCATGCCATAGCCATGCTCCAGCTAGCTAATCGCTCTCTGTCACACCACACACAAGTGAATTCAGGGGAATACTCATCTTCCAGATAAACTGCAGTAAGGATAAACACGTTCCAGTTTTTTTTTGTTTGTTTGGTTTTTTTTAGAAAACAGGGCATTTAGATAAGATGCTAGACGCATTCCACTTGAAGCACAGAACAAGGTCTCGTTCTCACATGAATAATGGACCGTTTAGACCTCTTTCACAATGCATTGCAACCCTACCAAGGAGACTTTGCCCTCCTAAAAGTACAAGTGGATAGGGCTCTGTGAAACAGAATCGTTTCATTTTGACATCCGTTTTGCTGTTTCGAAGAAAAAGTGTTTCATTTAGTTTCGAATCACTGTCCTGTTCCGTTTCAACAAAACTGTTTTGACGTTTCACCCATATCCTATAGTGGGGAATCATGAAAATGCCTAAAACATTGTCATTTGTTGCCTGATTTGGATGCAAATTGCAGGGATGGTAGCCTCTTCGGAGGGCATGAAACCTGCCAAGCTTCAAGAAGATAGGTGCAGCGGTTTCTGGGAAACTGCACCTCAAAGTCTTGAAAGCAAAATTTGCCAGCAGCGGCAGCCTCCTGTCATCTGGCACGCAGATCTGGGGTCTCACACCCAGGGGTGCAGGCCCTCAGATCTGTGCCAGATGACAGGAGGCTGCCTCTGCCGCCTGGGACCGGCACTGGGCTCAACCCGCACCCAGCGCCGGGAAAGACAGATGCTGCTGCTAGCCACAGGCAGCAGCCTCAGCCTCCTGTCATCCAATGCAGATCCAGGGGCCCGCACCCCGGGAAGGAATCCAGCACAGCCCCACAGCCCCTGGATCTGTACACCCAGATGAGAGGAGGCTCAGGCTGCCTCTCTCACCTAGGACCAGCGCTGGGCGCAGGCTGTGCCCAGAACCGGACAAGATTGCTGCTGCTGCTGCCTGAGCTTCCTCTCATCCGGGGCTCAGATCCAGGGGCCTGCAACCCCCAAGAGACCTGCCGGGCTGTGCTGGACTCCTCCCGGGGGTGCGAGCCCCCAGATCTGTACACTAGATGAGGGGAGGCTGCTGCTGCTTCCTGGGACAGGCAGCAGCAGCAATTTTCTCCAGTGCTGGAGGACTATCCAGTGCACCGCTCTCCCCACCTCCCACAGCTGGTGCTGTGCTACACCTCCTGCTGCCAGGCTGAGCTCCATGGGGCTGGTGAAGCCGATAGGAGCACAGCCCAGCGGTGGGAGGCAGACAGAGCTGGCGCTACGCTCTGATCATCTCTGCCAGCCCCATGGAGCACAGCCCGGTGGCAGAAGGCGGGGAGAGCCAGGGCTGTGCTCCCTGCTGGGCTGAGGTACATGGGGCTGCAAAGCCACTTGGAGCACAGCCCTGGCTCTCCCCTGCCTCCCACCACCAGGCTGCTTTGAAACTTGAAACATTTCGAAACTTTCAAGAAGTTTTGAGTGCCCTCATTTCATTTTGAAGCTGTTTCTATGCTTTTTGTTTCATTTCAATGTCGCTGTTTTGAGCTTGAAACAGCTTTTAAACAAAACACGTGGCAAAATTTCACACAGCCCTACAAGTGGAGTTTGGCCCATAAATTCTTGTTCCCCAAGGCTCTAAATACTCCACTGCAGTCTTTCCTATACCTGGCACTCATCTTGCATGATATTTTTGTTCCATGCTGCCACAGGTGTTTGTTTCAGCCACAGCTCCTGAAAAGGGGCTTAGAACAGTTTGTCTTGGTTTATACCTGCACACTATTTGCTACCCATTCAGTTGCGCACACACACACACACACACACACACACACACACACCCACCCTTGTCACAGAGGGTTAATGCTATATAGATATGACAAGTCACAACTTTATTTGGATATAAAAAAAGAGGAAAGAGTCCTGAAAGCAGTTGTACCAAATGGTCCCATATAGGACCTATCTCCAGATGTTTTTATTTCACAAGAGGGCCATAAAAATTGAACTGCAACATCTGAACTTTGCCCGTGTAATGCAACACAGATGCAAGGTGAACCTGAAGAGTTGTTCTGAATTGGTTTCAAAACAGCAATATCCATTGGGCAATGCTTTTATTGCAGCACACCAAGTCAGCGATGGGACCAATTGTTCCATGACCCTTTCAAAGATACGGGGCAAACCCCCAAGAGATAAAATACAGATTAAGTCTCTATTAGAGACTTATTGATATTGTAGAGCTGCAAATATAGCTCTACAAGCTGACTGGAGTGACCCAGTCATTTGTTAAAACTAGTGAACCAAAATCTAGGAAATTAAAGTTCAGTTGCATGTGACATGTAATCTGGGGTTAGTCACTTAACCCTCTATTCCAGACTTCCTCCATGGAGGTACAAATTGCTAAAAACAGTGGAAGAACAAGGAGTGAGAGAACATGCTGGATATGCACCAGCTAATCTTTTCCTAGTGATCTGATGTCAAATGTCTTATCAGCTTGCCTTCTCTGCCAAGCACTTGGATGACTCTAGGAGCACCCAAGAATACCATCTACAGAGTGAGTATGTGGCCTTTAAGAGTCATTAAAAAACTCCCCTCCTAAGATTTTAGCCTTCATACATTAAATCTCCTCCACCCATATTTGTTCCTTGAAAAAGAAAAAAAAAAGTAGATCTTCTTGGATAGAAGATTCTTGTGGAGAGGCATTTAAAAGAACCACACACAATTGTATTTTTATAAAGGCCCCTATTGCTTGGAGAAGGTGCATTCTTTTTCCCCTTGAAGGTAAAAAGGTGTTTTAAGTGGGGTGTTTTGTTACAAGTTTTGAACCAATATGAGGCATAATCATGAGTTCTTGCTGTACTAACACAATTCAAGTCCTCTTGTACCATCAATTTGAAATATCATTGCAAGTGAAGCATCTCATTTTGCACATAACAGTCAAGTACATATTTGGGACAGGATCACCCTTTACCTATAAAAATTCAGTTTATTTTGCGACATGCTTTACTCCTCTTAACCCCTTGCCCAGTTCTCATCTAAATTGAATCTATGCATCTCCACGTTTGCAAACACAGAAGTGTGTCAAGCGTGCTACTGTAAAAACAGACTACAATGTTCTACAGCCTGAGCTCTTCCAGTGACTCAGTATACAACTGTAAGCACATCACACTTCTGTGAAGAAGGAAAATATCTAGTTGCATCAGAGTATTTGCAAGAGATTCAGTAAGGAGACAGTGTTAATTATGGCTTCAAAATAAGAAGAAAAAAAAAGAGGGGAGGGAGGGAAAAACCCAGCTACAAAATATACTGGTAGATTTGAGCCATTTATTAAACGCTCCCCTTCTGACTTGGCTAAAGTTAATGATCAAAATTTAAATCTTTAAATCAATGAGCATTCCAAATGGTCTTAAACTGAGGAGCTTATAGCTATATAGCATCTCTATTAGTCAGTCACTACTTCTGAATGATGGGTAAGCATGCCACTGCCAAAGAGATTTATGGCTAATATAAAGGAAATCTTGCATTTCCAGAGTCCAGAATTCCACCATCAGCTCTGGTGCTCCTTTGAAAAGGAAAGGCTTAGTAGCAGTAGCTATGGGGAAGCTGGAGAGGGTGTCACATTGTGCCCCGACTAGAAAAAATCCACACGAGAGCTATTTTGTCAGACCTAAAAAGCAATGCATTTATTCAACCAGAGATGGCAAAGCCTACAAAAAGATCCTATTTTCAGCTATACTGAGAGATGATTTATAAAGTGTAGCTGGGTATAAATGACACAAGGTAACACTGGGGTAGGATTAAATTTATCATTTCATTACCAATTTGATAATGTAAACAGCCAATATACAGAAAGAGATGAATAAGGAGGAGTTTGTAGCTACTCGATAGCATGTTTGCCTTCCTCAGATTTCTTCGTTAAGTTCACGCAACTTCTATGTGGACAGCTTCATGGAAGACCTCAACAGCATTTTAACAGTCAAACGTGGCCTATTGCAATGTGCCATGACAAATGCAATGTACTGGATAACTCACAGTGTGAGGATTTTGAAATTAGAGTAAAGGAAGGAGTATTGGGCAATTCTTTGGCTCTCCTGCGAAAGAAAACTAGGACAAGAAGTTCATCTGGCAAGGACTGAAGTAACACCAGGGAAACAGTAAAAGCAATGATGCAAAGTTAGTACTCCAGCAGCCTAACAAATATGCACTGTAGGCCTTGTGAAAATATAGGCCTTTTAGACTTGAACTTTGTTTAACATCTCATCACTGCAATTCTGGACTCTCCAGAAAATAAAATAAAAAGCCTGTATGCAACAGGTTACACCTGAGCTAGTCTGTCTGTGCTTCTTATTCCCAAAACATACACTGAGACTTGTTCTTAGATCAGTCCTAAACTCCAGTTTCAAATCAATGCACTGGCAGATTGCTTAAAACTCAGACCACCCCCGAAACCTAATGTAACCAATACTGGGTTGAAAGATTCCATCAATTCTCTATTACACAAGGGCATCTTATATTCCAAGTATTTCTAAGCTTCTTAGACCAAGAGGACCACTTAAAGAGGTCTGTTCATCCTATGGTACAATATACAAAAACCAATATGTAACAGCAGGGTAGCTTCTCTATCCCACTCCAATGTACTGTACTTCCCAAGCAGTAGAAGGAGTTGTGCACGCTATTTTAAAATGTGGTTTTTTCCCCTTCTCCCTCTCCTTTTTGTCAGGAAATCACTGATCCTTTCTCCATTCAGAACTTACCATTAGATGCAGAGTCCTTTAACATCCGTGCCTGCTGTTTTTTAACTCCTTTCTCAATCCGTCTCGTAGCCCACTGTTCAAGAAAAAGGAAAAAAAAGCTTTAAAAGTAGTATTTAGGATTGTAACATTCACACCTTACTTAAAAAGGGTTTTCTACAGAGAAGAGGAACTATAAGTTAAGCAGATGGTTTTCAAGGAATCCCTGCATTAGGTAGAAGAAACTGCCTACCCATACAGGACCTGAAAATATTTATTTTTGTTTAAAAAAAACAAACAAAACTTGCCAATGAAACCCAATGGAAAACCAGTAGTTCTAGACTCACTACCAACCTTCAGGGAACAAAACACCAGTTCACCTTCACAGGAATTTTCTAGATATGCATTTTAAAAGATCCTTACCAAGCCAAGCATACTGGTCCTGCAATGTTGCCAGTTACCAAATCTATATTTCACCTAGCTGCCAAGACAAGAATATTTCACAAGGCTCGGCTTCAAGTTGATTGGGAATGAGGCTTGTGGCTATCCCTTGTGGCTAGGGGGATAAGCTGGAAAACATGACCCAAATGTACACTGGATGCTCAGAAAACAAGCTGCCCCATCCCAAAAGAAAAATAAAACCATGTACCTGCTGGACTTGAAGTATTTGAGCTGGATACTGAATATGGAATGAACTGCAAGCCAGTCACCATCTTACAGGTAGGCTGGAAGGACCTTCTCTGAGTCACTTGCATACTACAGTGTGATCCATTAGGCCATCGTAAACAGACTGCATTGCACTGACCCCTCCAGTCCCTTTACACTTAGGGAGTTTAAGGCTGCAGGATGATCCACAAGAAGCTGAGGACTGAAAGCAATGTTTGAAAACTGCCATCCTTAGTCAAAACCAGTCCCCTGTTATTTAAGGGAACTGTTTCAAAGCCTCAGGTTTACTAAACCCCATGCCTAGTAGTTGGCAGAGCTGGCCAACTAGTAGTGCTTCAGTCAAAGACAGGATTCCCCCTTTCTTCCCTCAGGCAAAGAGGGTTTTTAGATTCAAACTCGACAAAGACCAGATCTGCATTTTCCTCACAAGCTGGAAGCTCCTTGGACCCTGCAGCTATAGTGAAATGCATGCTCAGCAGCTTCACTACTAATGAAACATCTCTGGCTCAGTGAACCAGCTTCTTCAAATTTTGCTATTTTGTCAGAATATTTTCAATCAACTATACCACTCCATTCCCTCTACTATGCATATCAGACAGCCAGAACCTCTCAGATGCTTAGATACCTTCCCCCAATCGCCAGTTTAAGTGTCTGTAAACTGGCCATGGATAAACTTAGTCTTATGCCAAGGACAGCCTTCAACTTCAATAGCTCTGCTCTCTTCCAAGGATTTACATCCTCAAAAATACAAGCCACAACTCCTCTCATCCTTCATTTTGTCAGCCAGCCAAGCAACACCCCTCCAATTACCTGTCATTCAATAGGCTTTTCATTCCCCTAATCATCCCCACAGTCCTTCCCCACAATTCTTCAAAAACATTTATTCAAAATCATGACATGGTATGACTAGAACTGTACAGGGTGTTCCAGAATAGACACAACAGTCCCTTGTGCAATATTACTAGTACTTCCGTACTACTAACTACCTCACCTGCTTCAGTTGTAGGCTTGCAGACACCCATTTTGCTGCCACGTCACACTAGCAACAGAGATTACAGTAACATCATGACATATTAGATTTTCTCCTGTAATTTCCTGTGCTTTGATGCAAAGTAAAGACTTAAGAAGGGTTCTAAGCATACCATTGAATAGAGGGCACTTGCTTTGAACAAGAGTGAGCTTCTGAGCTACAGACTCATAGGCTAGATCCAGATATGCAGGCACATACAGTTTTGGTGCTGCAAATATCTTTGCAGTGCCAGAAAGGAAACGAGTTGCACATTAATCTGTGCATGACACAGCTAATTTACAGCACTGGGGCAAAATTTGCGACCAGGTACCAAAAAAAAAAAACCAACCCTGAAATAAAAGCAGTGCAAAGCATGACAAAGTGGCATGCACTAGGACAAATTCAGAGACAGCGGAGCAAGCAGCCCACGGCTGTTGGCTCCCCCATCTCCACTGGCTGCAGAGCCCCTGCGCTGAGGCACCCTGTGTCACAGCCAACCACTCTCTGACTGAGGCACAGGGTGCCTTGAGATGGGGAAGCAGGAAGCAAGGGGCTAGCTGCTCCCTTGTCTCCATATGCCTCAGTGCAGGGCGCTGAGGTATGTGGAGCCCCTGTGCTGAGGTACACTGCGCCCCAGCCAGCCATAAAGCAGCTGGCTGGGATGCAGTGTGCCTCAAGACAGGAAACCAGAGAGCCCAGGACTGCCTGCTCCCCCGTCTCCATGTGTCTGAGCGCGGGCACTCTGCCACGTGTGCTGCAGGGGGTGGGGAGGGGCTGGCTGGGGCACAGGGTGCCTCAGCACAGGGCTAGCCGACAGGCAGCCTGTGCTGAGGCACCTTGTGCCCTGGCAAGCCAGGGAGCAGCAAGTGGAGACAGAGGAGCAGGCAGCACAGGGCTGCCTGCTCCCCAGTCTTCACATGCTGCTGAGCCCAGGGCTACCTGCTTCCCCACCCTGAGGCATGCTGCACCCCAGCCAGCCACTCCAGCTAGGGCACAGAGAGTCTCAGAGCGGTGGCTCCAAAGCACACAGATAGGGGAGCAGGCAGCCCAGGGCTTAAGTTGAGGGGACACAGCGCTGAGGCACACGGAGACAAGGGAACAGCCAGCCCAGGCCTTCTTACTCCACTGTCTCCAGGCACCCTGAGCCCTAGGCAGGGCACAGAATGCCTCAGTGCAGGGCCTCCACAGCATGCAGAGAAAAGGGAGCGGGCAGACCAGGGCTGCCTGCTCTCCCATCTCCACATGCCATTTCCTAGCTGGCCAAGGCACCAGGTGCCTTAGTGCAGGGGCTGCCTGCCGGCTCTGTGCCCCAGCCAGACCTCTCCACAGCACATGAAGCAGCAAGACAACGTGTCCCACTGCAAAGAGAACGGGCAGCAGCATGCACTGCGGCACAAAGCAGCAGCACAAACATATGCCCCTGCTCATGTGGACGTGACCATACAGTCCAATCAGCCTCTTCAACAGCCACTCAGAAATATTCTATGACAAGAGGATAACAGCGAAAGGAACACGTGTTAGTGTTCCTGGAAAGGGGGAAGATAGTAAATGCAAGCGATCCACCTTGCCTACTTCTTTCTAGAGTTCCATTTCTTCAATGAAGATTGGTTCTTTTGTGCCTTCCCACTTTCTAAGGGTTAAATCCATAGATTTCAGAACACCCACCTACTTTACAGTGCTGCATACAGTGGTCACCATACTCACTAATGAATTCACTAACAAACTGTATTCAAGTGGGAGCTCAAGGACAACAGCCTGAAGTGCGAGTGACCTGAACTGCAGTTGGGGCCTTCCTTGGCAAAAAGTATCAGTTAAGATGGCTGTGAAAGGACTAGATAGGCATCCTTTAAACATCATTAAAAGGTTTCCTTTTTAGATTACTAGGCACCTATTCCTTGGAAAGCAGCAACAGTTCTTCTTGCCTGCCAGTTTGTGGGACTCAAAGTTTGTTCTGGCAACAACGTGTGCCCATACCCAGGGATCAGAACCTTATCTTGTTCACCAGACTGTAGTTTCCTCTTTCAGCATCCTGAACCAAAGTATTGCTGGAGCACATAGGAAGGACTCTGGGTGCCGTGCAGATAGTCCCAGCCTAAAAGAAACTCTAGTCTGAATAGAAAAAAAGGAAAAGAGTAAAGCAACTTGTCCAAGTTCACAGCAGGACAATGGCAGAGGTAGGAACAGAATTCATGTCTCCCCAGGCACCCCTCCAACATCATAGCTGTCCTCAGTAGAATAGCCAATTGATTAAGAGCCAGGGTACTCTAATGCATCAGTGTACTGGACTGCACAAAGCTCAAATTATTGTAATGCTCCAAGGCACAGTGTTAGTGGTGTGTACCATTCCTGAACTTTGTGATCCAAAATCAGACACCCAATAAAGCGCAAGTGGAGTTACCATCGTGGCTCTGCACAGTTTCCAATTCAAAGTGCTGTGTCCCCTCAACCTAAGCTCAACTGCAGGTTATGAAGATTTTAGGAAATCATCAGGCCTTCAAAAGACCGTAAGTGATAGAATAATCCACATCATAAATACATTTTAATGATTATTCACTGTAAGAAACAGGTTCATTTCTACTTCTAGCTTCAGGTTTCTAGGTACTGGATATTTTGTGCCTTAGCCTGCAAAGGTGAAGGGCATTCTGTAAGAAACTGACATAAACCATTACTGCAAGGCAGAGGCTCACCTACATAAAGCTGAGCATTTTAGAATTCCAGCCTTGAAACACCTTGGCTGTGAGTGATTACTGAACACCACACAGTAGGTCACACACGCAAAAAGAGAGTACTTAGCTACCTGCAAAACAGAGGTGCCAGGGAAAAAAGACAAAAGGTAGCTTTATTTGACAGTAGCTGATTTTAAAGTACTGGACATTTAAGAACTAAGTTACCCTTCCTCTGTCTAAGAGAGCAGAAAAGTTTGTTATAGAAGCTTGCAGTACTGCAATCCATATAAAAAACAAGTCAATGAGGAATATTTAAATAGAGGACATAAAAAAGACAGAATCTAAATAACCTAAGTCAGTACAGCCAGCAAGTCTTGTCATTTCAGGGAACCAAGCTAGCCCTGCAAAAAGCCAATTGTGATCAGGATCTGAGATACCACTGTGGCGGGCCAGTACGGTGTGCTCCTGCGCTGAGCCACCCATCTCACTGTACCCGACCACCTTCTAGGCTCCAAGTGCCTCTCTGGGGGTGCCTAATGTCTGACCGACCCCCTTCCTGGAGCACACCCACTAGCCTGGGGGTACTGCTGCCACCACCCAGGGAAGGACTTGATCTTGACACTGTGTGCTCTGGGAAACACAGGCCTTGTAGCCCTAAAGGGTACTTGACTCACTTCAAGAACTTGGGGTGCTTCCCTCAGTCGAAAGTCCAAGTAGTGGTCTCCCTGAGTCAGCTGAACCAAGGGGACCCCAAGG